TGAATGTTCACCGCATGCGCACAAAGCAGCTGGACCTTGCGCGAGAGAGAGGCTACTATATTGTCTGCACCGTAACATTTGGGCTTCAGGTCGGCACCGTACTAGCAATATAGAAGTATTACATATATGACGGCCATAAGAGTTTCTGTCATAGCTTTTCGTGGACATGGTTCTATTCCGTGCTAAGTTTGTGGACATGGTTCTATTCCGTGCTATAAAAACACCGACGTGGTGGGGATACGCACACAAGCGAGAACCGTCGTCATACATCAACATAATATGTCTGCACACTTCCACGAGCGCACACGGACAACGGTCTCGCTTATGTGTATATCCCCACCACGTCGGTGTTTTTATAGCACGGAATAGAACCATGTCCACAAACTTAGCACGGAATAGAACCATGTCCACGAAAAGCTATGACAGAAACTCTTATGGCCGTCATATATGTAATACTTCTATATTGCTAGTACGGTGCCGACCTGAAGCAATTGTAAGTGTCACATGAATTCATAAATAACTAGAAATAAACAAGTAACTAATATACAATATTTTGAAGCCTACTACTGTGTTCAAAAAGTAAGGTGAATTTATTAAATTCAACTTCTCGGGCTAATCGATTCGAGTAAATTTTTTTTTTTTATGTTGGTACTTCTATTAGCGACATCTGTGCCAGATTTCATGTTAATGCCATCATTAGTATAATAGAAACGCTTGTGTTTTCGAAAGACTAAAAGTGATTTTGGCGATTTTTACAATGTGTGATTTTGTTGAGCAAAGAAGTGCCATTAAATTTTGTTTTCGGAATGAAATTTCGCTTGCGGAAACGTTCAGAATGTTGCAGAAGGCCTTTGGTGAATCGACTATGTCACAGAAAAATGTTTATAAGTGGTACAAAGACTTCAAAGAAGGCAGAGAACGTGTTGATGACTTGGAACGCCACGGACGACCATCAACGTCAACTGATGAGCAGCACGTCAGGAAAATCAAGGAATTGGTACTCGAAAATCGTCGATTAACAATTAGAGACCTTGTCGATATGGTTGGCATTTCAATTGGATCAGCTCAAAAAATTTTGAAGGATTATTTAGGTCTTAGAAAAGTCAAATCTCGTTTGGTGCCAAAAACACTCAATTTCTTCGAAAAAGAGCGTCGTGTTAAAGTTTGTGAAGAGATGATTTCTGATTATCAGAACATCTACGAACGCATTATTTATTTTTAACATTCTGAACGTTTCCGCAGGCGAAATTTCATTCCGAAAACAAAATTTAATGGCACTTCTTTGCTCAACAAAATCACACATTGTAAAAATCGCCAAAATCACTTTTAGTCTTTCGAAAACACAAGCGTTTCTATTATACTAATGATGGCATTAACATGAAATCTGGCACAGATGTCGCTAATAGTAGTACCAACATAAAAAAAAAAATTTACTCGAATCGATTAGCCCGGGAAGTTGAATTTAATAAATTCACCTTACTTTTTGAACACAGTAGTAGGCTTCAAAATATTGTATATTAGTTACTTGTTTATTTCTAGTTATTTATGAATTCATGTGACACTTACAATTGCTGTAATAAAATCGTCTCTTCTGTAGGATTCGACGCGATTGTGAAGAAAAATCCTCTCCTTTGTTTCGCATTTGTTTGACTGATCTTTTGAACTTTTTTAATTTCTTGCACCAACTGTCTTGCGTTGAATGCAAGAGCTTCAGCAGCGGTCACAATGCGATCCGCTGTATCCACATAATCGGTGATTTTTTTTTGCTACGTGAGAGAGACTGTTGCACTTTGAATGAATAAAACACTTTGTGCAGACGCGCATTGCATCTCGCTTTTATATAAGTTGCAGCGGTCGCTTATCTCAATTTACAAATCCGCGCAAAATTAAATTCATTAACAATACGCGGTTTAACAGATTTGTGAATGCTTAAACATCCTGCTGGACGTTCTAATCAGAACTATTTTTCTTCAAAACAGTACTGAGAACAGTAGAGCGTCTTCGGAGTCAGTCCGCAGTATCCGTAGCATTCTGATTAAGAATATGCGTTATTCTTAGCATGCGTCTTGCATTTGCAAGATCAGCCGCAACTTTCGTATGCAACTCTATATAAAACTTCTCGCGACTTCCAGCGTCGTTGACGCTTCCGCTGCAGCCGTCTAGCGCGCGTTGCGGTTTTCCTTGTACTAAATATATATTGTCATGCGTGTAACAGCCTTTTTTTTATTTGCAAATACTACATACATTGTTGTTATTTGTTTTGTAACAAATATCGCGCCCTCTTTTCTTAGTTTCTAGAAGTTCTGCCAAGTATTTTGCTGGCCTTTCATAATTCATATGATAATGTATACTTTCTGTACTCCGAGAGATATCTCACGTTCAGTGAATTCATCAATTTCACGCACTCTGTGGGATATTTCACTATGAGATTAATTGATATACATTGTCTAAATATAAACATCTTATACAACTTAAAGTCCCTAGTTTCTCAACTCGAAAAGTACAAATACGCTCTTTATTCAGAGTAGATATAGTGTGTGTGTGTGTGTGTGTGTGTGTGTGTGTGTGTGTGTGTCGAGAGTGGTGGAAATTTCTTCATTTATGTTAGAGATATATACACCGCTACATGACAACCATGCAATCAGTCTCGCTGCGATTCTGTTCTGTTGATGTTCTGTGTGCTACGAGTTGTCGCTCTTTCTCCTACTTCTCTTCGCAACAAATCAGCTCGACGAAGTTTTGCTCGATGGTTCCGATAAAGCAACAGCAACCTTCCGTCGATCTTCAGCGCGCGTCTCAACACAACGGTGCAAAGAGAAAGAAGTTCCATCAAGGGTAAGTATTATTTTTTAGTTGCTTCTTTTTTAAATTCTTTTTTTTATTTTTATTTGCAATAAAATCATGTTTTTAGTTTTTTTTTCTTCACAGACAATGCGATGGCGTTCAGTCGACACCGATTACACCCAACGCACTCGCACAGCGTACGCGGGTATTGAGCCGCAAGTACATCTTACCCAAGACGGGATACAAGTATTTCGAACTCGGCATCGGTATTTCATCATCCATGGATGCACCACCAACCGTTGATATGGCTCTAGGCGACAATAATGGGAACGAGGTGCTTCTGTCGTCAGAAATGTGGAAGGTGTTGTTGGACAACGAACGAATCATCACGTCGTATTTGTTGGGGCAAAGCGACGCGCAGCCGTCGATTCTTGTTAACGATCTGGCGGTATCGTTCAGCTTGATAAACAACGCGAAGATTATGCGTCTGACAACGACGACCAGCCGCATAATATTGTCCCACCAATCGATGTGCAAATTGTTCAACTTAAAACATTGCGTTGCGTGCATCGTCGCCTACTTGAACGACGCTGTTATTCGCGTGCGAGAAAGATTGTCGCGGTATTTCGCGATCCAATCTGAAATATCAGATCCCGCGAGCTTCGCAAATGCTGTCGCACAGAGCGGTGACTTGGATGTCAACGATATTGTCGATTGCGAACTGTTAGCTGTATGTTACGGTGTTATTCCTTAATAAATATTGTTATTGTTTTACTCTCCTTATGTAACGGTATTTTTACAGATTATACTAAAAAAAAACTTGCTACGTAATTTTCTTTACTAACATGGTGTGTTTTCTTTCACATTCCTAACCACATATGCGTTTCACTTGTTACGTCCTGGAGACTCCACGGTCCCCTTTTTTCCTGCGACGCGACGCGCCAGCGCATAGCAACCCTTTGTTTTTGGTCAATAATAATAAATAATTCAAACGGGTCTCTTATCGTTTGGAAACTTAAAACTCCAGACGATAGGAAAACAAACGAAAACTATATCGGCGCCCGGAAAGATAAACTGCGCCTAGCAATAACACGAAATTTTAGATAACTATTCGAGCAGCTTTCCAAACAAACCCGGATATCTCATGAAAACGCCGGTCATAAAAATTAGAGCGGCCGGCGCAAATAGAAACTCCGACATTTTTATTACAAACAAACAACAAGGGGTCTATGCGGCGCGGTCGAAAAGACAACACTCTCCCTTTTTCCTTCCCCGAAAAATCGGACGAGGCGACCGAAGCGAGAGATCGTCGCCAATTGGCGATCTCGCAAGTCGCCCAACCGACTAATTAACAAATAAGAACCAGCAAAGCTCAACTGAGTTCCCGATTGGAAGAGCCCTCGCTTACTCAAAACTGTATATAAGCCAGGGCTCTCGGAATCGAAAAACTCAGAAAGAACCGCGCCGCGTATCCGAAAAGAGCCGCAGATCAGTGAGTGAATAAGTGAGTGAGTGCGGAGAGCGAGATCACAGAGGCATCAACACCAGCGACCTGCAACTCCGAGCTATTACAGTGCCGCACCGGCCTCAACCGAGAATCAACAAGAAACAGCAAGTAGTAAGTCCACCCACAAATATTAATCGGGAGTTCCACTAGTTAAAAATCCAACTCGAGGTTAATACTCGGAACCTCAGAGACGCATAACTGCCTAAAAGCATCGCGAGAGTATATTATTTTTTTTGTTGTTTCTCCGCAATCAATTCCTCACCCTCGCCGGGAGGGCAGTTCGCGACTCTAAGTCGTGAATAGCAACCGGTCGAGAAGTCAATTCCTCACCCTCGCCGGGAGGGCAGTTCGCGACTCTAAGTCGTGAATAGCAACCGGCCGAGAAGCCAATTCCTCACTTTCGCCGGGAGGGCAGTTCGCGACTCTGGTCGTGAATAGCAACCGGCAGAGAGAGAGAGAGAGAGAATTAGCCCTTTCCCCCTTTCCTTTTTTTTGACAACTCTTTTTTGATTGAGCATGTTGTCGGCAGAATGAGAAATCAGTTCCGAATGTTAACCTCGCTCACAATTTTCACTATAAATGATAACTTGCTAAGAGAACCTCCCGTTTAAGTGGAACCCCGCCGTTCGCGTTCCAACCGCCGGCACCGGCGGCATCGGCAAAGTCAAAAATTGCGACTAGCGGCAGAGCTCGCGCAAAACGAAGCGGAGCCGACCAGGCCCATTGACGCCACCTCCCCTTCGACATTAAGAGACGATTCCGGCAGCGACAATAAAATAGAAAACCCCACCGATATACACATAAATCATTCACACTCACCGACACATTCGCACTCACACTCACCGACACATTCGGAACACACACACACAGACACACATACACACGACGATTCGTGGTATGAAACTCCCTCCTATTCGCCTGTAACCCCCGATCCTCCCGCAGAAAATCCCGCGGATCTACAATCCGCGCCGACTCCTCCACCTCCCCCTTGCTCTCCTTCCCCTGAACCATCTACATCCAGAGATGAACCCGCAGACGACGAATCCTCCGACTCAACCCGCTCAACCACTCCTCCGCTCGATCCTAAATTTCAACATTTCCTCCGATTAGCCTCCACCTATAAAAAAGCGAATCCGGAAAGAATCCCGTTTATAATCGACCCTCTAACAACAGATCCTTCCGAAATTTTCCGCCTGATAACCACCACTCCAGCTAGAAAGCTCGTTCCAGTCAAATTTCCCTACATAGATGATATCCGCCTAGTTCCCGTCCACCATTTCTA